AAGAAGAAGAAGAAGAAGAAGAAGAAGAAGAAGAAGAAGAAGAAGAAGAAGAAGAAGAAGAAGAAGAAGAAGAAGAAGAAGAAGAAGAAAAAGAAGAAGAAGAGGAGGAACCCTTCTCCTTCCCCCTGCTTCCCCCTGCTTCCCTCTTCCTCGTGTTCGTTTAGCCAACATCATCTTTTTTCCTTTTTCTTTGGCAAAAAGACACGTCAGCGTATCGATACTGCTACTCTCTTAACTGCTCCCTTATGAATCGATGACAAGCAAGTAGAGAGTGTTGTGTTGGCACCGATCAAGGAATTTCGCTGGCGCATCAGAAATTCATAGGATTCATGTAAAATATATCTAGACTAGACGAACAGTAATCGTTTAGCTGGGTGGGGGAGGGTTCCTTTTTCAAACGATTCATATATTGTTCCTTTTGTTCAACGTTTTAACGCTTCAGACACGATTTAACTATATAACCGATGACATGTTTCAGACGTCGATTATATAACGGGTGACAATTTTTTCGACACGTTGGATAATGGCGTGGTTGTTTGCCGATTGGCTAAAGTCATACAGGAAAAAGCCAGATCGGCTATCGACGCTGGCAAAGCGAAAGGGGTGAGTATCTACTATTTTTTAGTTCTAAATCAGTGACTAATGGAGATCACGTTTAAATGTTAATGATAGCCAATACCGGTGATCAGAGGACGTTGTTGGGAAAATGCAGCGAGACGTAGCTTCTTCTCGCGCGACAATATGGAAAATTTTATACAATTTTGTCGTCGATTAGGGGTACACGAAAATCTTCTATTCGAAAGTGACGATCTTGGTGAGTAAACTACGAATAATACATACACGTAATATATGGATTATGTATTACATCAATTTCGTGTTATAGTCTTACATGGTCAGCCTCGAAACGTAGTACTCTGTTTATTGGAAGTTGCAAGATTGGCAGCAAGGTATTCCTTGGAACCACCTGGTCTCGTCCAATTGGAAAGAGAAATCGCTGAACAAGAACAAGATCTGCGTTGTCTTTCGGACAGTGGAATTTCTCATAGCAGTCTCGTTTCCTGGCAATTCGCTCCTTCGAAAATGTCAACGCTCCGACCGCAAACGGAAAAGATTAAACACAGTAGGTGGGTGAACGAAATATTAGGTTGTTAGGTTAACTATAACATTCATTGTGATCTTCAATTTGTTAAGTTCAACGTCTGAAGTGGCAGAGATGACGACTGGTTGGTTGGACCCGACAACGGGTAATAATCACGAGCCTGAAATGAGACGATCGATTAGCGATAATGGGCCAGCCGGTAGCGATGGAATAAACAGCGATACCACGGAAGATGATTGGTCGCGTGGTAGCGTTGATGATCCCGATGACGTTACTTCGCCATTACCTTCGTTAACTAGTTCACCATCTCCAACCCAATCACCTGCGGATCCTCCGGAATATACCGGACCTATCACTGAACTCGATCGCAAGGTATATTATATGATATTCCTTAATGACAAGATCTAATGAACACGTTAACGAGTTTTCTTTCTTTTACAATTATAATTATCTTACGTTGTTATATTATTTGTTTAGGTGCGAAGAGTTACGGAAGCTGTACAGAGGCTTTGCCAATGTCCGTCTGGTAAATGTTCAAGATTGAAAGTACGAAAAGTTGGAGAAGGCCGATATCATATAGCAGGACGCAACGTATTCATTAGGGTATATCAAGTTTATATAATTATTTGACCCCTTACTATAGTAATTTGGTTTCATCGTGATTTTTATAATAAAAAAAGACTCTCTCGCATGATATCATCGTATGTTGCGTTAGAATTGCAATCGATTATTTTCCTTTTATTTTTAGCAAACATTTTATACAGAAATCTAAAATTAGGGGTTTATAATATTAGCACTCGTTCCTCTGGTCTGACTACTAATAATAGTAATAATAATGAGAAAAACGTAGCTGTATAAATAACATTGTATGTTCTCAGCTTCTGAAAGGAAGACACATGATGGTGAGAGTGGGCGGTGGGTGGGACACCTTGGAGCACTTCTTGGCGAGGCATGACCCCTGTCAGGTGAGGGCTCTCAACCAAGATGGTACACCACCCCCTACCCCATCGTCTATTTCAAAAGGCAGAAAGCACCGCGACAATGACTTCCTACGCATTCACGCCAAGTATCGTGGCATTTCCTTGGAACCCGTCCCCATATCTGTCTCCGGGCGCTAGCCTAAAAGCCAACATCAACGGCAACACCAACGCCAACAGCAAGCACGGCATCATCGCTCGCACCTCTCGACCATCCTGCATATCACGTAATAAGGGCTACACAGTACTAATTTAAAGTAGTAGTCAACTATGTCATCTTTCAAAGCTACTACACTTGTCAGTTTTCTCTCTCTCTCTCTCTCTCTCTCTCTCTCTCTCTCTCTCTCTCTATCTCTATCTTTCTGTCTCTTTATTTTTTGTTTACACAAACCCACGCGTAAGTACACCCTGTGCATTTTTCTATTTCACTTCACTTTCACGTCAAATTGCAGAAGTGTGTTTATTATGCGTGCTGTGTGTGCTAATTCACTGATTACGATTTTATTGATAACGCGGGAAGAAAAACAAGTGATGTAATAGTTCGTCGCCTCGTGTCGCTTTTGTTCACGTCATTCTCTGAGAAAGAATGACGTCGGGGAATACGTTAGTACTTTGTATACTACTAACGTATTTCATTTTCTAAGTATTTCCATTCACTATAGAAAATACAATGGTTGTCCGTGAAATTCGTACGTTCCTACTATATCTCTTTTTAGGTGTTAGTTCGCGACGCCTGACTTTATCATAACATGGAGAACATTATTAATATGTTAAGGTATGTTTAAACAGTATTTAGTTTAAAGTCAAGATATTTATATAAATATGATTAGATGTTATAGGGAAAACATCGTTTCTGCAATCAGTTGTCAAAGCTTATGAAATCGGCCTATAAAAGTGCGAGTTATTGTTAGAAATCGAGTCAGCAGTTTAGAAAATAAAACAAACGACATGTGTATTTCTTAATGATATTAACAATGAATGAATTTCTTTTTTAACTCTATCCAAAAACACAATAGGTTTTTCTGAATGCAACGTTGAAACTTATCTTTCGTTCATTTCACGTTTATAAACGTTCTCAGCTTTTAGATTAGGGTTTCGTAAACTTGAAAGAAAATTAACAAAAAAAAGAAAAAATTAACAAAAAAAAAAAAATAAACAGAAAAGTAAGATGAGTAAAAAAAGATATGATAAATAATCGAAATGAACTTGCAATGATTATTTTCGATAAATAGTAATTTCGAAATATTTTTAGTAATAAGTGTTCGATTAAGCAAATTTATTATCACATATTCCAAAGATTATAATATTCTAGCTCGCGTATTCTCCGACAAGTTTTAATTGTACGCACGATATGCCTACTGTATTCTACTTCTCGATATATTTATATTTATATATAAATATAAATATAGTATATAAATATAAATATTCATATGTGTATCAGAGATGCACCCATCTCACAATTTTGCATAGCTGTAAAATTGTGAGTTAATATCATAGGGTGACTACGTATTGTGAATATTCAATTTTATATTATGCATCCTGTAAAAAAAAAAAAAGGAAAAAGGAAAAGAGAAGAAGTAAGAAAGGAAAAGAAAATTACAATTTTGTACAGACGTCGGAGAATTTCTTTTGATCTTATGAGATTGTCATCAACAATAAATAATGCGTGTTCAATACGTGACATCAATATTAAGATTTCTCGATTCTTTTTCTTCTTCTTGTTCTTCTCCTTTTTCTTGATTCTGGTTTGAATTAATCGCGCGCATTTCGGAAATTCTTTGACAGGAATGAAAGAAAAAATATTTAAATCAAAATGTATGATGCAACATTAAATAATTAATCATAGATTTTGAAAATAAATATCGAAATGACCAAATCGTTCTATCCGGCCGAGACATTTTTAAAGTTATTAAATGATAATAATAATAATAATGAATAATAAAAAGAGAAATATTTTATATCGAATATCGATTAAAAATTGTCTAGGATGCATAATCAATCAGTCGATGAAAACAAAGCGCCAATGAAAACTCTCTGTGATTCTCGCAAGATAATCCGTTTGTAAGTTGGAAGTGTGTGCGATCATGATTATTCTTATTACAAAGAATAATATGGAAAAAAGTGCAATTAGTCTCAGGTAGAATATTGTGCGTATAAAAGAAAGAAAGAAAAATAAGATAACAACAAATTTTGCCTTCTCACTTATAATAAATAGGAAAAGAAAAAAGATAATATGTAACAACAACAAGTCGCCTCTATATAATCGGATAAAACGCATTAAATAATGATTAATAATTAATCAATTCATTAAATAAATAAATAAGATTTGAGATAATTCTTCATATGCAATATACATTTTGATACGTCCATATATTCTTGAAAAATTTTCAAACTTTGTAATCGTAAAAAGGAGTGAAAAAAGAGAGAAATCAATTCTGAAATACGTATCATTCTATACACGAGCAATACATTTGTACGATAAAGAAGCATATTAAAGCGATGCGGTATAATAACTATTTACATATAATATTGGTCATTGCTTCAGTAAAAACAAATTGAGATAATTCTTATAGTGCGCTTTTATACTTCCTGACGAGCACTAGACGCATGCATATCTCACCATATGGAACAGGGTTGGATAATATTTTGTTCTTCTTCATTATTCTTTACCAAATGTGTTAACGCATTGTTGACTGGTTATTGTATTTAATGCTTAATATCAAAATTTCAATTAACACCATAAAATGCAATGAAAAATATTTTAATAACGAGTTGCACGATTGTATCAGTCGCTTGCATGTGCAAACACGAGTAGTATACTTGTGATCGGTCAATAATGTGTTAGCGATCATTTTCATTTCCGCTGATCGTAAAAACGTATCTTTTGATTTATCAGAACCAATAGTAATACGGAAATTACAAGGAAACTTGAATATTTTCATACAATCATTAGGATTCTACGAATTCATACATGTTATAAACCGATCCTGGAAAGTATTGCACATTAGCACTCGTGTGACTTATAACAACTAATTTTTCATACACGATATTATAATGTCATCATCAATCATGCAAATGCTTGAACTGCCATTGGATATATGTTTTGTACTTTTATATATAAACAAAAAAAAGATAAGAGAAATATAATTGTAAGGTATGGAATATAATTAATACACATTATAGATATATATGTATCATCAACACGCCACAGATATGTCTCTAATTCAATTTACAGAAATACAAGGGCATGGTGTGCAAAGGGATACCAAAGCAAAGAAATATCCGACGAGTATTGTCGGCACGTTGAGATAGGCTAATTTAAAAGAAAAATTAAAAAACAAATCCCAATTTGATTATTACAAAATAGCTATATTATTTTTTATTTTCAATTGCGTCCATTTTGTGATTTACATTTATGAACCGCAGAGATTATAGAAAAATAGTAAAAGAAAAAAAGAAAGTGATTTTTGATTAGAACTGAAAGCATACCTTCATGATTTTGGTTTAACAAGATTCACTTATTAGAATCTAATCGAATGTATTTGTTATTTTAACTATTAACATTCCTCCCTTGTCGCACAAGAAGAAGAAGAAATAATTTTGCCATATTGTATTATCTGATGTGCTTATAAGAGTTTTTCGTATTTAAAATAGTTTAATTAAGTTGTATTTGTACCTGTTCGTTCGTCATAATCTAAGTTGTTACGCGTAACTACAAAATTTCTTTCAATAGATTGGACGCCGTATTGTATTTAAGTGATTTCACGAGATTTCATTCGCGTATTTTGCGCTGACATTTTCGAGGATTAGCAATATAGAAATTTGAAAGAAATGCTTTGTTTTCTAGTATACTATTATAATGTAGTATGTATGTTAAAAAAGATTAAAAAAAAGGAGTTATTTATTTTTAGACTACTAAAAATGAATTTCAATTTTGATAGGAATACCAAATGGATAGATATGTCAAAATGTTCTAATGCTAAATCTTACATATCGCCTAGTTTTATTTGAGATTAATCTTCACACACATGTATAGCAACGTAATATAATAATCCTCATATATTTAGTATAAATAAGTTGTTCAGTTGTTATATTTTGTTGGTTAATAAAAATTTAGCTGCAAAATGATCATTAATGTATTTGAATATAAAAAATTTGTTTTAATGACGATGTAGGGAGAAGAAAGACGGTAGAAAATAAAAAGAAAAAAAAACATACCCAATATTATCGTTGCGAGATTGCTATAATTTTTTGAAATGAAAGAAATAATATATTTCAAAATGATATCTCGATTGGAAGTGTACTACTACATTACCGACAGAAATGAGATGCAGTTACCAATTGAGCGTATCAGACAATAGCGCGCTCTAGAAGTTCCGTCGATAATTACTTATCCTCCTTGTACAGTTCTCTACGAGAAGACGCGGATGGCAGTTCGGTGGAGAAAATATTCGCGAAAAAATTGCAAATGGAGCATGAACGATCTTTTCTCTTATTTCGAATCACATCACATTCTGTTTATTATCGAACATTATTAATTAAAAAACAATCTTACGAAGGGATATATATTCTGGGTAAAAAATATCTATCGTTGGCTAACTCTTCTTGCCGATTAATATATTTCAAGATGGCGATGACTTAAATGAAGGAGGCGTTGATTACAAAATTGTAGACGCAGTCGATATATTCTTAATATCATTCAAAGAGAGTTTGTTTTTTCCGATGATACGGACGCCAACACTTTGCAAACGAAGTGAAAGGCGAAGGTGAAAGGCGGTGGAAGAGAGAGAGAGAGAGAGAGAGAGAGAGAGAGAGAGAGAGAGAGTGAGGAAGGGGGCAGAGAGAGAGAGAGTGAGGAAGGGGGCAGAGGGAGAGAGAGGGAGATAAATAGAAGATAGGGCGTAAAGGTTGAGAATGGCCAAGGCAAATGACTTTCTTCGTTGAAGAAAAAAAACGAAGACACAATATAGGAGCCATAAAAAGGATTAAGAGAGAGAGAGAGAGAGAGAGAGAGAAGATGTGCCGGCTGGGCGGCGGTTGATGCGCGCGCATCCAGTTAAGAGATAGCGGTATCGGCGCGCGAGCGTGTTTGTTGTGTTTGTGTTTGTGTCGTGTCGTGTCGTGTCGTATCATAAGAGCGGGCTGAACAGTGTCGCGTGGCTCAGACCAACTTGGACCGTCTCTTCAAGTGGGACTTTGTGTTTATTCACGCGTTGTTAACTGCAATACCTACCGCGTTAAACTGCCAGCTGGAGAAAGAGTTGACCTATATAGAATCGGGAATCAAAGGATTACTGCCTACCCTAACGTATCGTAACTTGTCCAGTGTTTAATCGGCCACATTTTCACTGGCATCGAATTCAAACTGAAAGATTAACTACGGCAACATGTGCGGTGAGTAGTATTACAATTATATCACATCTTTTCTTATTATATTTACAAACTTTATATTTTTGGACAAAGCGATGTTTATAACACCGGAAATAGGTCAATCCATCTCTCCTATCATTCTCGAATCAGTTCGTTTTGATATAATAAGGGAAGTAAACTTGGAGGAAGAAAAACGTGGAGTAATAGTCGATGACAAGCGTCGCGTAGGCGGTAAAAGCTTCATTTGTGTTTGACAAACTAAATACGCGTATTACGCGATGGTGCTTCAACGATCGCCGTGATTGCTGAAAGGCTTAATGGAACTTTCTTTTTCCAATCTACGATTTTTATCACGTTTACTCTCCTTCTTTATCTTTTTCATTATGATAATAGGAAAAAACCTTTTAGATTCGTTGTTTAAATCGAAAGGTACGAGAGGTAAAAGTAAGGAATGTCGAAAAAATATAACAATTCTTCATTTAATTATGGAAAAATTACATTAAAATGAAAAGATATTTATTCATTTCAAATTTCATTTTAGAACCCTTACGTTAATCATTTGTCTATTGGTTGTATATTTGATATGTATATTGATATATTGATTTATCATATTTTTTAAATATTATAATTGTTTTTGCAAATTTGTTTTGAAGTAAAAATATAAACGGGGAAGAACAAATGTTATTATATTGTAAGTAATTACAAAAAATGTCTATTAAAAGCTCTCTTATAATCTTTAATTGAATCGTCCTTGTACCTGTCCGACTATGTTCTCAAGAAATATATATGTCTTTATCAATACACACAACATTTTTTCTGTCTCACGTGTACGAGAACTTGATAATACAGAAGTCGAAGATAAAGCGATACTTCTACGATCGATTGAAATTTGGACACTTAAACGATATTATTCATTTAATGGGGGCGAAATACAGTACGTTAGTTATAAACAGAACAAAATTATTTATTGAATTTATTCTCGAAGGGAGTTTGTTTTCAATGGTTTTCTCTAAGGAACTTTAATTGAATATTTTTATTCCTCGTTTAAAAGATATCGAGTTGCATTCTAAGAGTTTGTTTCAAATCGAATCGCATCGATCAAAGGCAACTGATAAAAACACGCCCGCATGTACACCTATAGAGTAATATTCATGACATTTATTTTTTAACGCTTTAAGTATAGAAAATAATTTGGAGGCTTTGAGTTTGATATACTGTCGAAAAATATTCGTTTAATTTATTCAAATCAATACAAAAAAAATGAAGTAAAGAATGTTTAATAGTCAAACGCGCACATGTATTTGGAATTTAGATAAGAATCAGCAACGTTCGTAAAGATAGTAAGAATATTTCCTTTCAAAAATATCTCGAGTTGATTAAATATCCCTCGGATAAGAGTTATCTACCTCTTTCTCTTATTTTTTTTTAATTGTTCCTTTTCAATGTAAGTTTTTCAAAAACGGTAAAGAAATTTGCGGATGTTGTCTATTGAACAATGTCTTCGTCATTGATTAATTGTTGAAGTGCAATAAATTATTGTCCACTATCGTGCACGATCGAACCTTCGAACAATTAACTAAGAATTATGAACGGTATTATATGCATATGCACTATGTATATATACATTTATACATGCGTTTTTTTAGGAATAATTTTTTTCTGTAAATTGTGTTACTATACGAGAAAGCTTCATGGACATTTTTTTTGATCATCATCACGAAACTCTAAACACTTTCTTTAGTATTTCATAAAATTTTCTCTTTCTTCCGAGAGATAGAGAAAGATAGAGCTTGAAAGTAATATCAAGATATTACGAAATTACCTTACGTAAGATTTATAGTTGTTGGCATTTAATAAGATGTTCCCAATCGTTTTTACTATAGGCGAAAGTATTTTCATAATATCCGACATTCTTCTAAAAAACATCAAATCGTGACATAAGAAAAACAAATTGTTTGATACTTTGGTAATATTTGCATTTCGTTATCACACGCAATGAAGAGAGAAAAGTTAATCAGATGAACACTAAAAAAGTTAAATATATTTATTTACCATTTCTTTTCTTTTAAATTTTTGTGCTCTTTAAAAATCAAAATCTTGTTTCTTAAAGTTTATTTATTAAGTCTAATGATAAATCGATATCAGCCAAGCAAATATTTGATGTATAATTCATTAACGCAATCTTTAAAATTACAATTTAAATTTGTCTAACTTTCTATCAAGGATTTACAAAATCTTGGGTTGTTTCCAATGAGACACATATTGTCATAACAAATTTCTTCACTAAAAACCTATCCTCGGTTAAAGTCAATAGGGGTGGATTATTCATCCCACGAGAGAAGTACAACTTGTTGCATTACTTCTTTCTTTCTATACTTGAAATATTTTTTACATCACAATTTGAAATTAAAAATAAAATGAAAATTAAATAATCAAGAGAAATTGCTTGTAAAATGTCTTCATTAAAATAAACTTATGAAATTATTTGTGATAAAAAGGGGAAGTAAAAGAAAAAAAATATAATTTGTATTTAATTTGTGTGTTATGAAATTCGTAACTGATAGGTTAACGAAATCAATGACCGACGAAGCTCGTGACCTTTTCTTTTAATCAAGAAATCGATGTATACGTGCGAATGTATGCATCTATATACAGGTATACAAAAATGATACTTAAGTGAACTTTCTTTGCAGAAAATTTCATCATACACGTTCCTGTATGTTTGGAATAAAAAATACGACGATAGAGTACGTCGACGCAAGATTACTTATTAATAATTTAATAGTACTTTAGAGACGTGTAGTATGTATAACATTTATAGCAGGGAAAAACTCATTTTAAGTTAAATAATAAATATTACTTTTTAATGCACCCCGCGCGTGCATTAATACTTAAATTCACGGGTCTCTTCCGTTTCATCGAGCAATTACTTTTGCAAATAATTTCATTTAATCAATTAACTTTTATAAATATATTTCGAGAAGTATTTTTGTCAAGGTAAGAGGTGTGCTGTTCGTAAGATAGGTTTCATTGACATTTCATTGATATTTATGTCTGTTATATTTCACGTTTTTTTCTTTTCAAATGTTCGATCAAGGATACTTTTTCTTCAAATTAAAATAGAACAAATGGAAGATTTTATTCTGCAACAAATAGTCGAAAGCATAAAAAAGAAGTAGAAAGAATGTCGCGTATCAGGTTTTTCCATTTACCCACAAAGTTGATCCCGAAAAATGTCAACGATTTAGCCAAACAACAATCTGGTTTTGGAATTCCCGCTCAGTCACGAAGCAAAAGGAAGAAAAAGAAAGAAAAAGAAAGAAAAATAAAGAAAAAGAAAGAAAAAGAAAGAAAAAAAAAGAAAGAAAAGGAAAGAAAGAAAAGGAAAGAAATAATGCATAATATAAGAATTCCAAGTCGCGTTTCCAGTCGTTTGCGAGATACATGGGACGGAGTTTGCTTGTGTTCTATAACTGTGTCCAATCCAAATGTCACGGTAGCAAGCTCCTTCGGTTTCGGGTACGCGCGAGGAAACTTTCACTCGATCGTGTTCTATAGCTATATCTCCAACGTCAACGACTAGTTTCAGATACTATACAAGATATTCACTTTGCAAGAGGTACAACTTATTTCTTTCTTTTATGTCAATTTTAGACAATGATTCTGCAGCTCTTTCTATGCATCTATTGGTCACCAATTTGTTTTTGGCAATTGCATGACGATATACAATATTTTAGGTGAAAATGGATGACTATTGAAAGTATTTGATGTCAGTAGGTCGGAAGGTCAAGTTCGTCATTCGGTTCGTCGCGCCTAATAGAAGGCCGAAACGCTTCTTTCGGGTCGTTCAACCCCGAACAAACACGATTCATCAAAACTCCAAACCGAGCATATATTGAATCCCTGCAAATTTCATTAATTTATAACATCAAATTATTATTTCCAAGTGTCTGGCAAGTTCGAATCATTTTTCTAACGATTTTATAGCAACTACAATTTTATCTGTTACTTATCTATTTTCATAAAACCTTACTCGTAGTTATCTTTGAGTTTGAAAGAAAAGTCACATCCGGGAAATTGTTATGATTAATTCTAGTGTCAACCGTGAGCATTAGTGATCACAACAATAATAATAATGATTATTATTTCATATTAGAAGATTTGTTCGTTCACGATCGATAAGACTGGACGGATATGTTATTATTGATAAGAGCTATCGTTCTTCGCTATAGGGGAGAAGAAAGTTCTTTTTCTTCTATCGTCTTACTCGAGTGTACGATTACAAAAGCTTTTCAATCGTTAGCGATCGACTCGATCGTTAACTATTACCTCTCCAAACGGAATTCATTAGATCTGGTTAGACAAGACACGCGGAAGGAAGAGTACATACATTCCATTCGATTAGAAATATATATTTAATAATTAATTCTTTCTCTCCTCTTTTTCGTCATGACCAGCGGGGGTAAGTTTTAACATTTGTTTTTTTTTCGCGAGAGGAAAACAAAATTGAATTTCTTAAGATTCAAAACAATTTTCATTGTATTTTACTACCGACAAAACATATATTTCCTCGACACAATTCAAATAGGGAGATTTTAATATTGAATGTATTCAATCAATTATTGATTTATTATAAAACACGAGCAATTTTTGAATATATTACAAAGAATGAAACATGGTTCTGCTGTGTATAGTTTCGGCTAACATAAAATCTCCTTCGAATCCTCGAGCTTTCCCTTTCACTAACGCACCCAAACGTGTCTTTACAGATTTGTTCATTTCTTTGTCAGAGGTGTTTTACCTTACACGCATATATATGTATACGCATATGCATGTATACTTTAATGCTCTCTCATGGGCGTCGACTTTTTCGCACTTTGAAAAAAGCGTCTGCCATTTCGCGTCGGCCTTTGTTCTCACACTTTTAAGTATTTACACACTCGATGAAATAAAATACAAATAAAAAGGAGAAGAGGAGTACCGTTTCTCATTCTGGAATGTTGTCCAGGACTCCCCCCGTTTGATAAATCCAATTCCATTTTCTCATATCTACTATCGAAACGATCTTTGTAACCGTGACAGATTTCTTATACGAAAATACTTTTATTTATATATGCAATTTTATTATATTTTAAAAAGAAAATCTTTTTTTTCTTAAATTTGATTTTACTCAAAATAGAACTTTCCAATTATAAATTGAAGTTGAAGTCCTTTAATAAAAGATAAGCGTTCATTAGAAAACTATATTGTAAAAGTTGGCGCAGCAGTGAGTGGTACGGGTCGATATTCCTACTCTTTACGTTACCCTCGATGTACATATGCATACACTTATACGTACAAATATACAGGGTGTCCCAGCTGAAGGAAGCCACCTAAATATTTTATTGTATTTCTTTTTAACGATATGAACATTTGATTTGATTCCACTAATTATAGATTTTCTAATTTACAGGAATATTTGCTTATCTTAACTATCTCACGCCGAAGAGTAGAAAGGAGATTTTGAAGCTTCTCGTTGGTGGATTGAAAAGATTGGAATACCGTGGATATGATTCTGCAGGTAATTCATTACTTATCTTAAATAAGTTGATTCTAATAATTATTTATGTTCGAACAAAATTGTTCAACATTATATACTAATAAGGAGTTCATTTAATTTAACTTTTTAAATCATATACACAAATAAAATATATTTCGTGTATTTAGTGAATTACAGAAGTATTCGCAACCCCATTGCACATATATTGAAAAATCTTGTATATATAAACTACAGTCATATAAATAATCTAAACTTTCATTTGGTGGTTTAAGCATTAACATTTGTAACATGTAACAGGATCTATCGAATGCAACGCGTCCTTGTGTTTCTAGTTCATTTCACTTATTTAGTAATAATAAGTAGGACCAACGTTGGTTTACCTTCTACAGAGGCTCGTATTGTGGCTTTAGTATTTTTCTTATCAAATTTCTCGTTCAATTCGCGAGGATTAAAGATTAAACTTTGGACAATTATATATACATATATATAAATACGTAAAAATATCGAAGAACGAGTTTTTATCATCATCGGATATGATATTACGAAACTATGTAACTTTGTCGTAAAAATGTACGGACATATTTGAGCACTTGGTATAAATGATGTTTTTTAATACGTAAAAAATGATAATAAAATAATTTTCAGGCGTTGCCCTTGATACAGCAGGAGGAAGAGATATTTCCATCATCAAGAAGCAAGGAAAGGTCAAGGCACTCGAAGAGGAAATCTTTAACTGTAAGTAGCGACATTTGGTCTTTTTCTTCTCTTCCACTGTCGAAGGACAACGTCATCGTATCGCCTTATTTATCGACACGTAATAGCTTTCAATGAACGCATAAAATACTTTTCCTTTCTCGCAGGTTTCAATTTTGCATTTGTTAATTGCAATGATCCGCTTACAAGAATTTATTTGTTTGCAGGTACAGACATTGATTTTGAATCTAAAACTGATAGTCATGTTGGTATCGCCCACACTCGTTGGGCCACTCATGGTGTACCATCCGAAGTGAATTCCCATCCGCAACGATCCGATTTTGAGCATGGATTCGTCGTTGTTCACAATGGTAATATTTTTACTCATATATTTTTAAGAAATATATGGGGAGAAAATTATATTATTCTTTTGGAACAGGTATCGTGACGAATTACAAAGAAGTCAAAACATTACTCGAGCAAAGAGGATATACTTTTGAGAGTGAAACCGATACCGAAGTTATTGCTAAATTAATTCACCATCTTTGGATTATTCATCCAGGATATTCTTTCCGTGAACTTGTCGAACAAGTCGTACAACAAATAGTAAGTACCACGCGTAATTGTTTTTATTATAAAATAATACATTTAAACGTTCATTGTGCATTAACAGTTTCATTCATAAATGAAATGTTATCATGTTAGAAATACGAATACGCGTCTATGTAAAGTTTTGATGTAAAAGATAGATGAATCTTTAATGATGCTCACATCGGACGATTGTTTCTCGTAGGAAGGGGCTTTTGCATTGTGTTTCAAGAGCAAACACTTCCCCGGCGAGTGCGTAGCTACGAGAAGAGGTTCACCCCTTCTAGTTGGTATCAAGACGAAAACAAGATTGGCTACCGATCACGTGCCCATTTTATATGGCAAAGGTGAGTCAACCTAGATAGTCTCTTCTTTCGTTAATAGACAAAGTTTACATATGTACTTGCACGAGATGAAATCGAAACGACGATAAACCAGCATAAGTATCGCGCGAGTAAACTGTGTCATAGAAAATATTGGATTGGCCAATAAGTACAATATTTTTTCAGTGGAAAATATTTGATACCTCATATTTATATAATATAACATTTTGTAAATCGAAAATTTGGACATTCATTTTTGGCCAATCGAATACGATACTATTTTTCATTTTTCTTGACTTTATTCGCTGTCTTTTAATTACCTATGGTTATTCGACATTTTTTAAAAAACGAAGAACAAAGGTGAGCCGTTTGAAAAGGTGAGGTATTTTACCAATTAATAACTAATTTACTATACAATTATATATTTACCAATTATTCCTTTTTTTATTGTAATAAAACTAAATCCTCTAATACTTTATTATATGTAACACCGTAACTTTTACATTTAGATCGAAGATAAAATCGATCGTCGAATTAACGATAAATCTCGTCGTTCATATTTGCATGTAGTACGTATAATAATTTTCTATAGGATTTTACTTTCCTTTTAACTTCGATTCGTAACTAATAAGAAATGCTTATTTCAAACACGTGATTTTCACCAACGAAAACAACGATACTAACATCGTGATTGTCTCCTAATGTATTTTAGAAATAACGATTTCTGTTTCTATAATATTATATTTTCTAAAATAATAACGCGCAATAATTGGTATGTGTTTTTTTAACATTGAATAAACAATGATCCTTGTTATATTTGTTAAGCTACGTTGTTGCATTAGGTATAACAAATTAACAATTTGGTCCTCTTGATTTATGCCCGATTTTATCACGAAAACGAATTGCACGACTACTGTAATACTCATTATATTTATTTATTTATTTCTTCTTCTCTTCTTCATCTTCTTCTTTGTAATCTTATATAAATCATCAAAATTGCACGCAGACTTCTTCTACTCGATTGAATTTTTAATGTGGATATTATACGAGTGTTTCTTTTGCATGAACATCTTCTTCCGGTTTTGTTCTACAACTTTTCATCCCAAACAGATGACCCACAACTCGCGAGCAAAGGTATATGTTCTCTCCATTATAAACAACTCTGTTTTTGCTCTTTGTAGATAGCTTTGGCTTGATCCGACATAAATACATGTATTACATACATGCATACACGTGTGCATAAGTAGGTATGTTACACGCGTATGATGTAAGTAACATCGGGGATCCTTAAACGAAAGAAAATTTGTCTTTTCTATACCATGTAATATATCGGACGATTAGAAATTTTGTTATCGTTATTATTTTACAGGTATTATTTGAATGTTCGTTGTTATAGTTTGAGGATTCCTTGCATAATTTAGAATTATTCTTCTATATCATGGTCGCCGCTAATGCTTACATACATATCTTTTATTTATTATTTTTTTCTTTTTTACTTTTAGTTAATTCTTGGAAAATACATTCTGTGTTACTCTATGCATACTCGCCCCTGCTGTGTGTTCTTTTTTAACCAATGTTTTATTCTTTTTTTGTTCTCTCCCTATATATTCGTTTTCTTAATTATTATTTTTTATTTTGTATATGTACATATATATATTTATATGTATGATTATTTTTTTTATAGCGATACACAATTTTGTTTGACCACCCTGTGGTATATTACCCTCCCAAGTTTTGTATTTTATTTATTAAACTAATGATTTTGTTTTCTTTTTCGTTTTCCCCTCTCGACAATTTACTCCGTGCAGATGGTGACACCTCGTCTACAGGTATATCATATTTTCATTAAAGTTTATGCTTCTATGCTTGTTTGTTTGTTTATTTAATTGTTCAATTGGTTAAGGGTAACATTTCGTATTCACTGACCGAACGAACAACCCGTGGGAAATGCACGAAAATAGCTATGAACTTAATTGGCTCTGCTAATAATCATGATCTCACATTCGCGCAAATATTTTGGTTCCCTAATGACTATTTCATGGTTGAATAATGGTGATGATTGAAAAGGATTTAAAGTAGTCACGATTGGTGAGTTGTTAAAATATAAAAAAAGAACAACAAAAAAAACAAGGAAAAGGACGATTTGTACTTTTTGTTATATGTATCAGTATTATTGCGCTTCGTTTCATCCGATAATGGTTTGTAACTAATCGGTGAAGTATAACACACTGATAATCCATATTACGTACATATAGAACATTTAAGCATTATTTGATAAATACTTTATATAAAGCGATATTATATATCGTTAAGTTATTATGCCTGTCACGTTACGAGTCGGCCTGGTGTTGGGCTTAACGAAAGAAGAAAAGCGGCGAAACAACTAAGTAGACTAACTGGTAAATTATCATGCTCTTTATCTGTAAATATAATACATCGATGCATATATTTGAAAAACATTTATCGAGTGAGATATTTCAAAAAGGCCACCTGATTAATTCGATTGCTAATGTTAATAGGAAAAATAAAAATCATTTCGATGAACAATTGTATTTAAAAAGGTAAGAAAACGAAGTGAAGAATTAGTCGCTACAACTAATCCAAACTTAGGTTAATTGGACTGGCATCTAAACGGTATCAGTCCAGGGCCTCGAAGTAACACATTTGTTCTATTACCAATAGGTGGTCCTATTACCAGATGGTCTCTTTTAAATACCTCGTTTGGTTAACATATACATAAATCTCACTGGTCACCTGTAAACGATTATTTAATACACATTAATCTTTTTAAATAAATATTTAATACATATACACACACATATACATAAATTTGATTATAATCGTTTACACGACGAGCTGCGATTCGCAATCGTTTAATAAACTATTGTATTTTATTTTATCTTATCTTCACTCTCGATAACATTTATTATTACTTTCAAATGAAATGTAATAAGAGAGGGAAGGATACGCATATGTTATAAAATTGAACAAAACGACTTATGAACGAATCGAATGATTCTCGTTAAATAAATCCATACAATTTCAAATGACTAATCTAGAAATGATGAAAAATCAGATCATCGTCCTCACGGACGTAATGCCGAGCTTCCTGTGATACCAAGAAGCGAGAGTACATCCGAGTTTCAACCCTTGGAAGACAAAGAGGTGGAATACTTTTTTGCATCCGATGCCAGTGCTGTGATCGAACACACCAATCGTGTTATCTTCCTTGAGGTATTTCTTTTATATTTCCCTTTGTGTCCCCAAATGATTTCCATTTTTTACGAGAAAAGGAATACAATATTTTGGAATTTTGTATTTTTTGAAGGACGACGATGTGGCTGCTGTAAAGGAAGGAGCTCTCAGTATCCATCGATTGCGTCGTTATTTGGATGATCCTCACGCAAGGGAGATCACGACCCTTAAAATGGAAATTCAACAGATCATGAAGGGTAACTACCAATATTTTATGCAGAAGGAAATCTTCGAACAGCCAGAATCCGTGGTGAATACGATGAGAGGTCGTTTGAATTTCCAAGACAACTCTGTCACCCTAGGTGGTATCAAGGTATACTTTTTTATTTTTTATTTTTATCTTTCTTGCATTTATATCAATGAAAAAAGGAGTAAATCATTTTACTTGTATTCGAATGAAACTTTCTCCTTCCTTTTATTTACGTAAAATTATTGGTTCCTTTAAAAAAATAAAAAAGATAAACACAAAATGATAGTATAGGGTCCGTATCCAGGGTCGCGAAAATATTAGCTCGGGTGCAGGAGATCGCCAAGTGGAAAAGTTTGAGAAGCCCTGTATCGTAAACAATTGATGATTGTATGACTTTACAGTAACATGGCGTTTTAAACGATTCATTTCACTCGGATAAATGCATATATTTTTTTATAGGATTACATTCCTGAGATAAAAAGATGCAGACGATTAATGCTCATCGGTTGTGGTACGAGTTATCATTCAGCCATTGCAACGAGACAACTACTCGAAGAATTAACAGAACTTCCGGTAATGGTCGAACTGGCATCAGACTTTTTGGATAGAAATACTCCAGTTTATCGCGACGACGTATGTTTCTTTATTTCGCAATCTGGCGAAACTGCCGACACCTTAATGGCACTGAGATATTGCAAAGGTCGAGGTGCTTTGATCGTTGGTATTACGAATACCGTCGGCAGTAGCATTTGTCGCGAATCGCATTGCGGTGTACACATTAACGCTGGTCCTGAAATTGGTGTAGCCAGTACCAAAGCATACACATCTCAGTTTATATCCTTGGTAATGTTTGCATTGGTTATGAGCGAGGATAGAATCTCTCTCGGTTCCAGACGTCAACAGGTATTTTTTATTCATGTTGTAATTTAATATTCAAATTTTATTGCAAGATTTGTGAAAGATGTCATCATTCGTTGCGTACTCGATACAGATCATCGAAGGATTGAAGAATTTGGACAAATTGATTCGCGAGGTATTGAAATTGGACGATGAAGTAAAGGAATTGGCAAAGTCCTTGTTCCAACATAAGTCTCTTTTGATCATGGGTAGAGGATACAATTTTGCCACGTGCATGGAAGGTGCTTTGGTAAGTCAGATTCGTTTATAGAATGCAGTACCTGCTGGTATACATTCTGGTGCACATCGAGTGCTACTTGTCATCGCATTTTTTCTTTTGTAGAAAGTGAAAGAGTTGACTTACATGCACAGCGAAGGTATCATGGCGGGTGAATTAAAACACGGTCCGTTGGCTTTAGTCGATGATTCCATGCCCGTAATCATGATAGTTATGAGAGACCCTGTATACGTGGTAAATTTACAATAATGTCAATCTATTGTCTTTCCGAATTTTATATAATATTAATACCATTAATTGTTTCTTTAGAAATGTATGAACGCTCTACAACAAGTAACAGCACGCGAAGGGAAACCTATCGTTATTTGCGAGGAAGGTGACAAAGAAACAAAATCTTTTGCTTACAAGGCACTAGAAATACCAAAAACTGTTGACTGCCTTCAAGGTATTCTCACAGTTATTCCTATGCAACTATTATCTTTTCATATCGCAGTTTTGCGTGGTTGTAACGTCGATTGTCCACGTAATTTGGCAAAATCCGTTACTGTTGAGTAAAATTTTCTAAATCGATTATATTCGACAATGAGCTAAGAAGCAGATGAAGGAAGACAAGAAAGAGAGAGAGAGAGAGAGAGAGAGAGAGAGAGAGAGAGAGAGAGAGAGAGAAGAAAGAATGTCACGAGACGAAGTTGAAATTTTGAATCTTTCGAGAGTTCAGAAATATTTATCCATTGGCGATAAAAATTAAACGATCAATACGATTGTTTGTTCGTATAATTATAGTACTATTCGTTGTACGATTAATAACATTGGACAACAATACTAATTACATACACACGTTGTTTTTATAAGGGCAACGCGGTTTTTCTTTTTTTCAAGATTCTTTTTTCTCTCAAGGACCAACAGGGCTGTGTATTTAGTCTACACGTCGATTTCGAAAGTATATACTACTTATATACTTACATACTTTTTGGTCATAGCGATGACGAATTAAACTAGATATTTTTAATTCATTCGAATTTCGAGTATAACAATATGATAAAAATAAAAAAAAACAAAATAATATGATATTATTAGGTATATCTACTTTCGAGTCTACCGACGATAAGACGATATCGAGGATTTTTAATATTTTAAAATAATTACCTAGAGAGGGCATTATACATCGTTGATTTGACATATGTATTTTTTAAACAAAACTGTTTATATTTTTTAGTTATTCATATGAAAAAATAATTCCAATGCATTTATAGAAATGACGAAGATTAAGACGAAGATTGCTTTTTTCCTAGATCGTAGTTCTACGTTTCGTACGACAATGTGATATTACCGATTAAAATCATCGGTTTTTTTCTATGAGATTGCGACGAACCATTTTTACACTTTGAAGAAGCAAACTAATCATTTTTTTGTAATTTTAAATTAATTTTCGCGCGAGTAAAAATGTATATTTGACATCAAAGTTAAATCGTCTGAACGATTAGAATCGATCAATAAAATATCGCGTCCATTTTTCCACTTCCTCGAACAAAAATCTGTCCCTAAACTATTCCCAAAGTAACCGAACGTTCGATGAATCAGAATTCATCGTGTTTTAAGTGGGCAGGCAATATAATAATGAGTTTTTTAATGATTATATAATATTACATAAGTCGTTAATAAATGAGCGTAGACGTAGAATATCATTTTATACTAAAAAAAAGACTTTACGAATATAAGACGGGTAGCTATTATTGATTTAGGTCTCACAAAAAAAAATAAAATGTAATTATCAATATCGATGATTTTTATTATTGTAACGCTATACGTGTTAATTAAATTCTGTTTAAGATACTCTTTTTCGAAAGAGAGAAGAATCTAGATTTTGTTGACATCATTTATATTAAAATTGATGAGGTTTCAAAACAAGAATATCTATACATATATAAATATATGCATAAGCAATACCATTATACATTTAATCCTTTACCTGCGAACAACGCTTTTCGGCATCCCGTGAAATTCAATTTCTCGAGGCACTCCGGCACTGTAGCACTCCGCAGTCAAAAGGATTAAGCATATTTTATCTTTATTATTTACAATACTTTGGAGAGAATTTGCATGTCATACATTTTGGGTTTCTAATCATTAGAATCGTTCAGATTTGATAATAGAATACTGCATGCTACGATAAACTCAAGTGGAAGATACGTTTGCTAATGTTTCATGAAAGAGGGACATTAATGGGTTGCTTTTTATTTGAAATGCGAGGAATATGATTGTACATGGAGAAAGAAAGAGAGAGAAAGAGGAATGTATAGGTGATCAATAAAAGTTACTATGGTCATAAAATTAATTCGACTATTTCAACGTAATCTTAGTATCATTTAATCTACATTTTTATATAGAATTCAAGAGAAGTTAAATTTATTATCATAAGTATCGCATCTCACTTAAAATGAAATTTTGCACGAAAGTTAGAGACGCGGGAAATCGATGAAATTTGGAAAATAGTTGCCGCGATTACGCGTTAAGAAGTAGTAGTAGTAGTAGTAGTACATCTCGCTTTTATATCAGACGCGAAGAAAACAACTTTGATACAAAATAACAACCGCTAAGGAGTTGAAAATTATCGAAACGTTTCCTCCAAATTAACGATTATTCTTCCATTTAAATTCGTTATCTCTCTAATTAATCTTCGAGGAAAAGAGAAAATAAATTTGATAGAAAAATATTCACGAAAATACTTGAACATTAAACCATTGGAGATTCTTAGAAAGAGTTAAATACGTATCGTAAACATTAAAGGCCGATCAATCGTATAACATCTTCGTTCTTATATGCGTTTAGCAATACAGAAATAAACTGGACATGTAATAAGTTTTTGGATGGGTACTAAAATCGCTATTACCGACGGGGCAGTAGTAGCACCCAAAGACTAGAACTCCTGGTTGGTTACTGGCGAAGGTGATGGTAAGTAGAAGAAGAGTGGAGGGGAAAGAGTACTACGCGAGTCAGTCGACGATCTGCCGGCCAAGAGCGCGGATACGTCGGAGGAGATTATAATCGTCGTACGTACAGTGGCCCGCAGAGATTACGTTTGTCCTTTTTACACTACCCTTTGCTACTCCGGAGAGCACCACCGAGACCAATAATAATACTAATCACCGTCGTCATCAGCCGCTGGCGACTTAATCGTTAACCAAATATCGCGTTAATCAATCGTCGTTGTCGTCGTAGTCGTTTGCGTGGTTATCCTCGCCGTGCTAGACGTTGTCACGATAATCGTCATCGTTGTTGTTACCTATTAGGAGAGAGAGAGATAGAGAGAGAGAGAGAGATAGAGAGAGAGAGAGAGAGAGAGAGAGAGAGAGAGGGAGGGAGAAGTAAGGGCGCCATCCCTGAGTGGGAAAAGTCAACCCCCTTGCGAAGGTTGGCAATTTTTGATAGGAAGTAGAAAGTTATAGGTGTGCGTGCGTGTCTGTCAGCGCCACAGCAGCAGCAGCAGCAGCCGCCGCAGCAGCAACAGCAGCAGCAGGTTCCCCTCTATCGATCGAATTTGACCTGCAAAGTTTCCCGTAGCGTCGACGGCCTCGTCGTCGTCGTCGCCGACGCGCCGTCGCCGTCGCCGTCGTCGTCGTTGCCGTTGGCATAGTCGGTCGCCGCCACCGACCTCGTCGTCGCGTGTGTGCGGTTAGTGTGACACGGAGCAGTGCTGGCTATCGAACGCTTGGATCCACCGGCAACACGCACGCACGCATACACACCTACCTATATACAGGATTAACGCGTTCGGCATGGCTGCCCCAGCCGCCTGCACGCGGTTTAGTGACAACTATGATCTCAAGGAGGAACTCGGCAAGTAAGTTCAATTCAAAGTAACCTTTTCTTCGATAATAAAGAATCCACCCTTCGAACCGTTACCTCATCTCTCCTACCGAACGGGGAAACAGAGATACTATGAAAAAAGATGACCAAATATTTTCTTAATAATTCGTCTAATTAACAACTTTCTACAGCGGGCGACAAGTACGTGCCACTTTGCTGACGACGACGACGCGTCGCGTTGCGACGCGTCGGCCATGACCGTTCTTCGTGTGTGTGTGCGTGCGTGCGTGCGTGCGTGCGTGCATGTGAGTACATCTCTTCCTCGCCGCAGTCGCTCCTTCCCACCTTCGCCTCCCATCCGAGAGCAGCAGGTTCCTCTCTCTCTCTCTCTTTGTCTATATTTAAGCGTCAAAGCTCCTGTAGGCGCTCCAACGCTATATATAAAGCATTCAGGGCGCCTGCTACCAACGATGCCGTTTTACCGACACATCTCGTGTCCACCTCGTCGGCCACCTCCTCGGCCACCTCCTCGGCCACCTCCTCGGCCACCTCGTCGGCCACCTCGGCGGCCCGTTACTATTTACTTACTTACCGACTAACAGCCGCCGCCAATGCGAGAATCCATTTGTTCAACGATCTCTCCGAGAATTGATCATTCTAATAAATATTTAACTTTTCACCAATTATTAATACATACTGAAAATGAAGTCATGTTTTCTAGGAAATTCAATGTTGAACTCGCCTACACACATTTTATTTAGATTATTTTCTACAATTATATAGATTTCCTTTTTCGATATACTAAAAGCCCTCTCTCTGTTTCTTTCTCTCTCTCTCCATTTTTCTCTCTCTCTCTCTCTCTCTCTCTCTCTCTTTCATTCTTTTTCCGCTTTTACTACCCCTCTGATCTCGGTCGCAGCCTTCGTGTGCGCTCGCTAGAGCATAACGTTACACTTCGTACCTTGAATACTCCGATCGTGCCCTCTCTTTCTTCCCTTGCTCGTCCTTCACACCTTTTTTCCGTTTAATTTACCCTATTTTATACTCGTCTCATCGGAGACACTTTTTTTCTTCCTCCCCTTTATACCCAGTCCGATAGGACGGGGGTTGGTAGATAGGTTGCTTGGTATGTATGTATCTACGTACATATATGTGTATATATATATATATCTTCAGTGAGCACGGGGTCGTGCGTAGTTTTATTATCGACGAGATGGAAAAGTCGCGGCAACCTGCGACGGCCATCGCTGACTCCGCTTACACATACGTTATCCTCGATAATTCAAGCAACGTTCGACATTTTGCTTTTGCTAAAAAGGTAACTCCTCGTCGTCCTTCGTCCTAAAGAAGATCGATCGTTGCGATCGGTTTTTATCTCTCGCTCGTTCATACGAACATAATTTATTGTTACACGAATAATTGAAGAGAGAAAATATAAGTATATATATATATATATATATTTTTTTTTTGTTCTTTTCCCCCAAGGGTCGAAACTATCGAGTCGTCGATTAGACAATTTCGTCTAAAAGTTTGACTTCATTCTCATAGAAAATCCGTAGACTTTGTTCAAATGATCTCTCATATCACTTTTCCTTTTCAACCCTTCGTATTATTCTCTCCGATTCTCTTGTCAGCCTTTAGCCCTTCTTCAATAGGGTTGCAAGTTAGGAATCTGCGGAATCGGAGTGAATCGGCTTGCGACCAAACCAATTCGAATGTTGGTTTTGGCAACGTTTGGGGCTGGCATTAAGACCGGAGATAAATATTGGCTCTATCGAGAACCACTAGGGAAATACGGAATTCCCATTAGGAAGTTGCGCTTCCTCGAGGTATCGTACCTTTCGTAAACCTTCTTTTACGATCGATCGACCAAATCTTCTTTCTTTTTTTCTTTTTATCTTTCGATACGAAATATAAGCTGATTCTTTATACTTATAACTTTTACTTTAGTAAAACATTACTAAACTTTCTTTATATTAATGTACAACGTACAAAAATACAGCAGTATATCATTCGTAGAGAAATGCGATCATTGGTCCCAGGGGTCCATTTACTAAGAAAACGACCTAATACATTTTTAGAAATAGAAGGGAAGGAAAAGAAAAAAAGAAAGAATAACTTGTTCTGATATGTACCAATGTTCAATGTAAAATAGTCGCCATTTTTGTGGGCAGAACGAAAGGACGTTCCTTTGGATCGGGTGACACCGACAATATGGCGCGTAGTAATACTACACAACTACGAGCTTGAACGAGTTTATTACGGATTTAGCTTTCCTCTTTCTCTCTTTCTTTCTATCTCTCATTGTCAGTCGTATAACGTAAGACAATCGGGTTTTACGACGGGGAAAAAATAAAACACCGTCGTAAGGTCTCGAAACTAAAAATACGGATAGGCGGACGGATGAACGTTAATTAAAAAGAAAATACTATCCGGGGATAATAGGGGTTGGAAGAAAAATAAACGGAAATGAAGGAGTCGCGAGAGAACTTCGAGTTGCGTATTATTTTTTTGTTTTAATTAATTGAAAACAAAAAGTGTCTTTCTTGTAATTTTTCGTTTGAATTAAAAATTTGTTGTTTCTTTCCCGTAATGGTTCGTGTGCGCCACGTTCTCTCCCTTCTAAAACCACCCGCTCTTCTATTTTCCTCCTATATATTTAAAAAGCATCTTTCAGCTCGTAGTCATCGTCGTCGTCGTCGTCGTCGCTGGTACTTTGAGTGGCAATTAAGTTTCGAAAGTAGACGCGAGTTAACGCGTTTTCCCTTAGGTACGCGGAAGCTGGGAAACGAGCTTGGTTGCTTGCTATCCTTACATCTTCCTTTTCCCTCGTGGAAGATATATACGCGAATTACGAGAGTAAAACGCTAAAGAGAAAAGCACGAGCTTCTGAGATGAGAAAAGGCCGCTTTTAGGGATCGTAAACGGCGACTATTGTAGTAGGGTATTTCTCTCTTGTAAGCTTTTACGGTTCTAAAGGATCTTATGCAAATAACTACATTTATTTCTTATTTTTTCCTTCTTCCACAAAATATAACTCTTCTTTTAGGATTCAATTAGTTTTTTTTTCTCCACAAAATATATACAGTTTTTCTTTTACATTGAATATATTTCATGTAATTTTGATCGAACAGTAATATTTCGTGGTTTGGCATTAGATGATACGATTATACGTAAAAATACTTGTCTCTACGTAAGAATGTATAGATGTGTGTACTAGGTAAACGTGCGAGAAACCATCGATCATGTAAGGAGTTTAGCACAAAGCCAAGCGTTAGACTTGTTAACTTACAACAACGGAGAATTGTGTCAAATCGCATAGCATGGTTCGCTGACTCGTCAATGTGTTGTATAGGTATAGTAGCACGTGTTGCGAACATTCCGTAATGTACGTAAATGATCGAACGCCATTCCTTTTCGATTCGTGTTATATACCTAATGTACACACATACGTTTATGTACATGGAAACAAAAAACAAATAACAGTATTATTCTTTTTATTACCTCTACGATATATTTTATCCATACTATAGTTAACGACACGTTTTTTCTTCTATTTTTGCATTTTTTACATTATAAGAAACGACCTCGTTACGTCACTATTTTTTTCTATCTCTTATTGTTCTTGCTCGTTACGGAGAATATCGCGTCTCGGTTCGAATTAGTCGACGTGCATCTATCAGAAATGTAGGGTGTCTTTAAAATCGATGCAACGAATAAATGAACGAAATCATTTGGAAAGTTAATAGTTACCATTCGTCATCCGGTTTGCGTTCCTAGTTTGGGCCCGATTAATTAGCGTTCTCGTTAATTCGTAGTCATTATTTAGCAGACGAGAGTAGATATCGGGGCGGGGGGGGGGATATGTGTAGATCCTTTTATCCTAGTTCGAGCGCAGGAAATACATAGGAGAAAGGATATCGATTCGCAGGTGTACACTTTGCTTTTCCGCGTTAGCCTTTTTTTCTTCTTTTCAATTAATATTAAATTATACGAGGGAGGAATCTATTTAAGACGAGGGCGAACGCTTTCCAGTGCACTCGAGTTGCACTTTTAGTTTTCTAAGCGGTTTCTTTTTTCCCTTTTGCGACCGACTCTCCACGTACACAGCGAACCACGTAACTCGATCGCTTTGATTATTTCCTTTAGCGCGCCGGACGAAAAGTGCCAGAGGAACCTATACTAGCGAGACCTTTATTTTTCTTTCTTTCTTTTATCTCTCGGAAAAATGACATTTTAAGAAGCTCCTTCGAAACGCGTGCGCGTTTCAATTAAAGCCAATCGAAAAAGTGTCCGAGTGCTTTTATTTTTCGATTTATAATAACTTGATCGAAACAACGATTCAAAATCAAATTCTACCATGAAACGTAACGAGTACGTTGGACTTTTAATTTGTTGCTTTCGTCTGGAAAAATTCGATTTAAGAAGACCGCTGAAAAGTTTTTTCCTGGTTCGCCTCGTCCATCCATGCTTTCGCCACTTGATAAACAAGAAATTAAGGCCAATAGAAAAATCAGAGTGGTTTTCGATGTCTTTCAAGGAACAAAGTTTGACGCGAACGAGAATAAAATAAAGTCTCATTGACGATATTCATTGAAAGTTGGTAGGAGGTAGGTGTGTTTTTTGTAAAAAAGTTCATCGTAAAATCGGATCATTGCATAAAGCAAATATACGTTTCGACGAAGAATTTGAAAGTTCGAGAAAGATAGAAAACCGATCGGAATATTAAAAATAGATCTCCCTATTCGTGCCTCGTCTTTCGAACGATGAAATATCTCAGCTCTCTCATCATTATTTACCATGCCTACCCTGTTTGCTCTCACAATGCTCGATAAATATTAGATCGTGCAAAGTAAAAGCGGCGGAGGATGGTTTTACGCCGAGATTCTGATTGGTTTTACCGCGAGAGGATATAAATTTGTAACAGGAAGTTCTGTATCAATTGAGATAAAAAAAGAAGTTGTTCCCTTTCTTTTGATTCCGATCTTTGTACTTTTAGTTAAGTTTACCCGGCACGTGGTGTGATATATATAT